AACAACAACAACAACAACATCTTATAAGTCAGCCAACTTTCTTAACCCATTAGTTCTAACGGTTTTAGTTACTGCTCTTCGGTTCCCGAGATCACGAGGTCATTCTTTGATTCTTTCAGGAAGTGTTCCTGGGACCGTCAGACTGCGCTCTGTGCTGTGCAGATGTGGGCACACAGCGTTCATTGTGATTTGACGGTGGAAGGTGTTTCTGCAGTCCCTGTCCTGTTCTCGTCCCAAACGAAGACGTGTGAAATTCTGCTTTGACATCTTTCACCTCACTTCCTCTCCCTTTTCACCGGAGCTTTCTGTCTCATCCTTCTCTGTTTAAAAAAACCCCTTGGGCTCATTGATAAACGGGACGGGTGCTGTCTCTCTCAGTTGCCCCTTTGGGATTGGATGCCGTGCTTCCCTGAGTCTTTGGAGGGAATGCTGCATTCTCACACACTTGGGTCTCTAAGGTTCCACCTCTGTCCTTTGTGTCTGTTACCTGCATCCTGTCTATGTGCTCACAACAAAAGACAGGTACGCGCACCAGTGAAGAGATTGTTGGAAAAAAATAAGGAAATCAATACCATTTACAGTAGCTGCCAAAAAAATAAAGTACTTGGGAATAAATCTTACCAAGGACACAAAAAACCTCTACAAAGAAAACTATAGAAAACTATTTCAAGAAACCCTAAGAGATCTACATAAATGGAAGAACATCCCATGCACGTTGATAGGAAGATCGAACATTGTGAAAATGTCAGTTCTACCCAAAGCAATCTATACATTCAATGCAATCCCAATCCACATCCCATCAACATTCTTTAAGGATATGGAAAAACCAGTCACTAACTTTATATGGAAAGCAAAGAGACCTCAGATAGCAAAGCACTATTGAAGAAGAACAAAGTAGGAGGTCTCACACTGCCGAACCTCAAAACCTACTATACAGCCACGGTAGTCAAAACTGCCTGGTATTGGTATATAATGACAGAGACATAGACCAATGGAATAGAGTTGAGAACCCAAAAATGGATCCATTGACCTGTGGTCAGGTGATCTTTGACCAAGGGCCGAAATCTATTAAATGAGGGAGAGAATGTCTTTAATAAATGGTGCTGGCAAAACTGGATATCCGTTTGCAGAAAAATGAAACATCTATACCTCACACCATACTCAAAAACTAACTCCAGATAGATCAAAGCCTTGAATGTGAAACCTAAAACTATAAAGTTCTCCAAGGAAAAACTAGGGGCAAATTTAGGGGCCCTAATATATGGCATAGGAGCTCTGGTGGCATAGTGCCTAAGGCACTTGACTGCTAATCAGAAGGCTGGCAGTTCAAACCCACTAGCCACTCCTCGGAAGGAAGGTAGGGCAATCTACTTCCGTAGTGATACAGCCTCAAAAACTCGAGGGGTTGCTATGAGTCGGGTCCAACTTGATGGCACATAACAACAATAATATATGGCATAAACAGGCTATCAAACATAACCCAAAATGCACAAACAGTAGAAGAGAAACTAGATGAATGGGACCTTCTAAAAATTTTTATGTGCTTCAAAAGACTTCAAGAGTCAAAAAAGAACCTACAGATTGGGAAAAAAATAATCATGACATATCTGACAAGGCACTTATCGCTAGAATTTATAGACACGGAACATAATGTGGATCAACTTAGAGTCCGTTATGTCAAGCGAAGGCAGTTGATCTATTGTAAAAAGTCCAGAAAAGGGTTTCACACACACACAAAAAATAAACAATCTTTGGTGGTTAGCAGGGGTGGGTAGGGAAGGGAAGGTAAACACACATCGACTTGGGTGAAGGGAAAAGAAGCAAACGTGAACCAAAGCGAAGGGCCTGAGCCTGGAGAGAGAGCGGACGGTGGGACACGGTCAACAGCATCGCGCAGGTGGACGGACAGCTGACCAGGGCTCATCTTCTGCCCTGACAGGTGGGTCCGTGCCAGTAAGGTTAACGCCTCCAAGGTTAACTCCATCAAACCTGGGCAGACCTGAGGCAGGACCAGCCTGTGAAAGATGGACGGTCAGCTTCCTTGGACAGACTTTCTAAACTGACAGCGGCCATTTGCCATGACCACGTCCTATCGTTAAAATACTCACCGTTTTGAGATGAAAAAAAAGAGATCCCTTTGCCTGGAGGTTTCAAACTAATTCTGGAGACTTTTTCTTCACTTACAGACTTCTTGGTCTTGGCCTGTATATAAGAAGAAAAAAAAAATCATAAAGTATTTTTGCATCATTATGGATGAAACGGGTTTTCTCTATCATAAATGATGAGAAGAATGTTAATGATGCCATTCCCTTTGAGCTAATTTGTCGGTTTTTAACCTGCATAAGATGTGGATAGCTAGCCCACCACTGATATTAAGTGATTAACAGAGTTACTGTGTCTCCTGAAAGCCCTTCACTGAGAAACCTACAGATTTGAAAATCCTTGTGCTGTGGCGAGAGTATTCATTACATACAGTGAATATCTATGTACGGGTTCCCTGGGCAGTGTAGACATTTACATGCTGGATACCACCTGGAGGGCAGGAGGTGCCATGGAGGAAAGGGCTGGTGACTGACTTTTGAAAAATCAGCCATTGCAAACCCCTCGGGGCACAGCTGTCCCTGACACACCCGGTGTCACCACGGGTCAGAGTCAGCCCTATGGCACCCGGTAGGCACAGGATATTCTTGTATAAATGGCTTTAATTGCCACACCACCAAAAACCACCCGTTGGCCATCAAACCAGTTCTAACTCGGCGACCTTTGAGGACAGAGTGGAACTGCCATAGGGTCTTCAAGGCTGTAACCTTTACTGAAAGAGGTAGGCAGGTCTCTGTCATGCAGAGCAGCTGGTGGGTTCCAGCTGCCAGGCTTTCAGTTAGCAGGTGAGTGCTTTACCATTGCGCCACCATTCCTGTCTCCGACTAGACCTTGCCTCTGACCCTGGTCTTCAGCCAGGCCCCTTGGCAGACCACCAGGACACATACTAATGGGGTCTCTTAAGCTGCACAAGTCTAATAAAATCAGCCCCTTAACTTTCCCCAAAAACATGTTCCTCTCCCAATCTTCCCTGTTGGAGTGATGGCGACTCTTTTTCCAGTGACTCAGGCCAGGAATCTTAGGCTCAATTTTCTTTTTCCCTCAGACCCTACACCCTCTGAAGCACCTTGGGTCGGAGCCCTTCTGCCCACCTTGGTCGATGTCGCCATCTCCTCGGACCAGGCTCCTGGAGCTTCTTAGTGGTCTGTCAACCCCGAAGCCACAGTCAGCCTCGTGACCCCTGCCAAGGTGGCTGCCCATCTTGTATCCACCAGGTCTCCCCACGGCCAGACGCCCTCCTGTCTGGCCCCGCCGCCTCGCTCAGCGTCTCCCTGGCCCACTCCACCAGGACTGCATTGTTTCTCCCTCAGCAGCCCCAGCATTCCCCACCTGGGCCTCTGCACCTGAGTCTCCCCCCGGTGGGTGCCTGGCTGCCTCCTCCGCTTTCACCGCCCCACAGAACGCCCCTGATGCCCCACCCTGCCGTCTGTCGTCCATGGCCCGCCCTCCTCCTCCCCGTCACTTCCTACACAGCTGAGTGTGGAGCAGGCTGGCCTAGTCACCAGCGCAGACCCTGGAGCCCAGCTGCTGGGTACGGGACAGCTCCGCTGCTGGAGTCACGTGCCCGCCTTCCCTCGGAGAGGAACCGGCGCTGCAGTCAGAGGCGTCCGGGGTGCTGCTTGAGCGGGTAACAAGCAGGATTCTCTTGTTCTCGCGTCATCACCGTCTCACTAGCACATAAACCTAAAGCCCACGAGAGGGCGGGCCTTCTGTTCACCGCTGCATCTACGTGAGGCGGCGAGCGCTCGGCACGTAGCAGGCGCCAAGTCGTCGTTGCCACTGCGTGCGCACCACTGTTTGTCACCAGGCAGATTGTCAACACCAACCTCTGACCTCCTGACCCTGCTGACGTCAAGCAAGAGCCCCAGCTTGCTGGACGATGACCTGGTGCTGGCAAAGTGAAGGATGTCGGACTCGTGGCTCGTGGTTGCGTTTGGACTTCGGTTCTGAACACTCTACACAGAGAAAGACACATATGAGCGCTTCTGGTTTGCGTGGAGGTACACATGTAAACACACATGCACACACATGACCTTCCGAGATCCTTAGAGTCAACTGCACACCCTTACAGTGTACTATGGCGGGTTTTGGCCTCTGTGTACAAGACAGTGGCCATGTCCATCAGTCCCAACAGCTGTCTCATGCCCCTCTGTCAGCCATCCTTCTCCCCTCCCCGCGCACCCACTGATTGCCGTGCGTCGTGGTAACTGTTGCCTTTTCTAGAATTTTGGATGAATGCAGTCAGAGACGCAGTCAGAGCGGCACCCTTTTCCCTCTGGATTCTTGCACTTGTTGCGGTTCTTCTGAGATTGACCCGTGGTGTGGCGTGGCTCACGAGGCCACCAGCTGACCATACGCCGTATACTGTTTGTACAGAACCGATCTTGGTGGACCTCGGGGTGGTTTGCACTTTCTGACTGTCTGGCTTGTTCTGTGACCCCAGATGCGGTCTCTGGGTAAATGCTTCGTGGACGCCGTGGGAGCGTGGACCCTGCTGTCTTCACGCTGGTTGAGTTGACCGGTTGTGGCTCACTTTTCGGAGGCTTCCTGACCCCTGCGTACTTGCTCTCTGGCTGCCGTTGTGGGTTGTCTGTTTCTTCTGTCAGTTCCGCCTCCTGCACTTTGAAGCTCTGTTAAACACGCTCACTGCTTTAGTCAACTTGGCGCCTTTATCATTACTCAGTGACTCTGATGGTGCTGATGGGGCCGCTTAGGATTAGGGTGGTACCAGTCTCCCCGGTCTTCTCACCTATGTGTGTCGTTTTTGGGTGGATTTCCTGTGGACCCAGTTCAGGTGGGTCCACCTTGTGTGGGGTGTGGGGTCGTTTACTTTGAAAGCGTTTAGCTGCCATCCTCTGCCCATTTGTTCTTTGTTTTCATTCGCCTCTTTTCTGCCACCTTTTGGCTTAACTGAGCATCTTTTAGGGATCCCATTCCACGCTCGTTACCGACGTATTGCCCGCTAGTCTTTGTTTTGGTATTTCGGTCGTTGCTTTAGAGTTTGCCGTGTGCCTCTGTAACTGGCACCTGTTTACCTTCCCGTAATACCATGCCCGTTCACTCACAGTGGTATCTTAGCTGCCGTCAAGTCAGCCCCGACTCGTGAAGCGCTGCCGGTCCCACGCCATCCTCACACTTGGGCGCAGATTGGGCCGTCGGGATCCCCAGGACTCCCACTGGCCACATTTTGGAAGGAGATTACCAGGACTTTCTTCCTGGTCTGAGTCTGGAAGCTCCGCTGAGGTCTGTTCTTCATTTTGGCAGCATGCAGGCCTCCGTGACAGATGGGTGAGGGTGGCACTTGAGAGGCACTGGCTGGGAATCGGACCCAGGTCTCCTGTGTGGAAGGTGGGCATTCAAACACTGAACCACCACTGCCCCTTGGCAGTTCTTCCCACACTGACTTCCCTTTCCTTTTTCCTAGCCTTTGGACTGTTCCTGCCACACTTCTTCACGTTTTGTAAACTCACACACACTGTCAGTATCTTTGCTTTAAAGAGACGTGAAAACAAAAGCGGGACATGAGTCCACACAGTTAGTGTTTCCAGGGCTTCTCAGGACTGTTGAGCTCCAGACTTCCTCCTGGGATCATTCCCGTTGCCTGGAGGACTTCCTTCAGTAGCTCTTGTAGCAGGTGGTTGTCGGGCAGTCCATTATTTCAGCTTTATATGTCTGAAGAATATCTCCCCTTTACTTTTGAAACATAATTTTCCTGAGTATTGAATTCCAGGTGTACAGTGTTTTTTTTGTTTCATTTTGTTTTTGTTTTTCATACTTTAAAGACTGTGCTACTGCAACAAGAGATCTGTTGTCATTCTTACTGGTTCCACTACACATCAGATGAAGGAGCTCTTGTGGCATAGTGCCTAAGGCATTTGACTGCTAACCAGAAGGCTGATGGTTCAAACCCACCAGCCACTCCACAGGAGGAAGACTGGGCACACTACTTCCATAAAGATTTACCACTTTGGAAACCCAAAGGGGGTCACTGTGAGTCGGAATCGACTCAATGGCAGTGAGTTTGGTTGTTTCTTTTCATTTACCTCACATGCTTTTTATCCCTGGCTGCTTTTAAGACTCTCTATCACTGGCTTAGTGCAGTTTGATTACAATGAGCCTAAATGTTGTTGTTGTTATGTGCCGTCGAGTCGGCCCCGACTCATAGCGACCCCTCCTTGGGTTTCTGAGGCAGTACTTCTACAGAAGTAGATTGCCCAACCTTCCTTTCGAGGAGTGGCTTGGTGGGTTTGAACCACCAGCCTTCTGGTTGGAAGTCAAGTGCCTTAGGCACTGTGCTACCAGAGCTCCTGAGCCTAAATGTAGTCTTCCTGTTTTTTTTTCCTTTGGGATTTGTTAAGGTTCTTGGATCTGTGTGAATCTATAGTTTTCATCAAGTTTGGAAAATTTTCAGCCATTATGTCTTTAATTTTTCTGTTTCCTTCCTCTATCTAGGATGTTAATTATACATATTCTGAGCTGCTTAAAAGGAGCTCCGGCGGTATAGTGGTTCACGCATTCAGCTGCTAACCAAAAGGTCAGCAGTTCAAACCCACCCAGCCACTTGGCAGGAGAACAATGGGGCAGGTCCACTTCTATAAACATTTCCAGTCTTGGGAACTGGCCAAAGGGGCAGCTCTACTGTGTCCTGTAGGGGCTCTGGGAGTCGGAAGTGACTCGATGGCACGGGACTGGGTGGGTTTCTGGAGCTAAGTCTCTCAGCCTCTGATGCTTTTTTTCAAGCCTCTTCATGCATTTTGTTTTGAATCGCTTCTGTTCTGCCTCCCCTTTCGCTGCTCTCCTCTAAAGCCTAATAATCTATTAATCCCGTCCAGTGTGTTTCCATAACTCAGCTCTGTTACTGTGCTTGACAGCATACGCAGTACAGCATGACACAGATTCTATGGTTTCTGCCAGTACAGTTCAGTGACACTGTGGTGTTCAAGGTGAGTGACGATTCTCACCCTTACCTTCCAAGCTGTCCCCCCTTAACGGCTCACTGCCCCTCAGCTTCACAGCTGACCTTTCAAGTTACTGTTGTCAGTTTGATCCCATGTAGATCACTCTGAGAAGGGCACGGTGCTCAAGGGAGACATTCCTCACTAGTTAACTTAAACTGTTGTTTGGTTCCAAGAAGATTTCAGGGGATAATATTTTTGGTTTGAGGCTTAATGGTTATCTCAGGGCAATAGTTTCAGGGGTTCATCCAGCTTCCATAGATCCAGAAAGTCTAGATTCCATGATAATTTTAAATTCAGTTCTGTATTTTCCCCCCTGTTGATCAACATTCTTCTATAGCATCTTTGACTGAAATGTTTAGTAATGGTAGCAACGCCATCCAGTTCCGGTCTTATGACCAAGGAGGGTAGTACTCATGGAGGCAGTTAGCTACATCATCCTGTGTTTTTATTTTAGACATTGCTTTTTCTAACTCCACAAATAAAAAGAAAAAAAAAATCTGTCTTTAACATGCTCATACTTTCCCTTACCTTGAACACACAGAGTATACATAATAAGTATTTGCTACTAATTCTACTATGTCATTTCTGGGTCTGTTTCTGCTGTTTTCTCATTACACACCTACGTTGTTTTTATTGCACTTCACTGATGATTGTGGTTTTTTTTTTTTTTTTTACGAATTGCAGGTTTGTGACAACTTTGCGAGTCTGTCGGTGCCAGCTTTCCAACAGCATATCCTCCCTTCGTGTCTGTCACATTTTGGTAATTCTTGTGATATTTCAAACTTTTGCATAATGTTGTTATACATTTAATAGACTACAGTTTAGCATAAACCTAAGTTTTCTATGCACTAGGAAACCAAATCTTCACATTGCTTTATTGCGATACGTGTCTTACTGCGGCGGCCTGGAACCAGACCTGCGGTGTCTCCAAGGCACACCTGGATAGGACATAATGTGCTGCTTTTTTCCATGCCTGGTAATTTCCTATCGGATTCTGGATATTTTAGATTTTACGTTTTGAGTGCTGGGAGTTTTTTGTTATTTCTTTAAATGTTTTTGTGCTTTTGTCCTGAGGGGCACTGAAAATATTTGGACACTCAATCCTTTCAAGGTTGGCTTTTCTAGCTTTTTAAGGAGGTTGGTGGTTCACAGCCAGCCAGAGGTGCCTCAGAAGTAAAGCCTGGTGGTCTGTTCCCTAAAGGTTCACACCTCGAACACCTTGTGCCGTGCAGGTCTACTCAGCCACACGTGGATCCCGTGAGTCAGAAATGACTCAACGGCAACCAGCTGGTTGTCTGCCCCCATATGGAAGCAGTGCCCCTTACATAACGAGGGTTCTCACTCTGGCTTCTGGGCATGTGAACTGTTCTGAGCCAGCGTGATCCCAGGGATGAGTCCTCGGCCTTCAGTAGTTTCCTCACACGTTCTGACAAATTGAGGGCCCCGTCCGTGTGTTCTCTCTACTCTGTAAAGAGAGTTTGCCCAGTTGCTGTCCTCAGATGACTGGAGTGTGTGAAGTTGCTGCAACCTGAACAGAAGTTGTAAGCTGAGCCTCCCTGGTGACCTCAGACAGAACCAGAATGACTCATCCAAAGGAAGCACGATCCACGTAGAACATGACAGCAGCATCCAGTGTGTGGAGAAGGTGACGGGCACAGCCCCTGGGCCGAGGACCGTCACAGGGCACGAGAACACGGAGTGACGCGGGCCTTGGACTTGAGCAGATCGTCTCTGAGGACGTTCCCCGGACCAGCACATGTGCACCCACATCCCTGAGGCCCACGGCGAGGGCATCTGTGAGCTCACAGACGAATTCACGGTGCACATCCGTTTCCCTGTGAGTAAAGCCCAGACCCAGACTGACCCCTGACCCGGCTCCCAGAGAACTCGGTGAGGCCACCAGCCACAGCCTCCATTTGGAGGAGGCCAATTGGCTGACATGGACAGCCGGGCACTGAAGGTCCGTGAAGCCCCAGCACCCGAGGCGTCCAAGGGATGCTCCAGGGGTTTGTGAGAGAGAAGCCTGGGACAGAGGCGCAGTGGGAAGGCTCCGCGCACGAGAGCTCTGAAGAGCTGCCAAGCAGTGGGGCTCCACCAGCTCCGGTCTGAGGCTCCTGGTGCTGGAGCAACCCGAGTACCACAAGGGGGTGCCTTTAAAGGACAGACGTTCATCCTCTCACAGCTCAGGAAGCTACATCCGAGTTCAGGGTGCGGCTCGAGGGGCAGGCGCTCTGTCGGCGGTGGGGGCGGGGCCTCGGTTCTTCATCTTGTGTAGCCCTGGTGTCCTCATCAGTCTGTCCCCATCTGTCCATCCTTCTGTGTCCAGGGTACTCTTCTGATAACTCAGCAGTGATGAGGTTGAGGTCACCCCTCACCCCAGTACGGCCTCATTCAAATAACTGAGAAACCCTGTTCCCCGGGGGCTCACACCCACAGGGGCTGGGATTCCAGCGTGTATTTGTGGAGAACATAAATCAATCCACAACACCCCAAGACTCTCGGCCCCCAAATCCCACCTGCTAACTTGAAACCTCCACCAAAAAAAAAACAAACCACGATCTGTCTCGATCTGACCTGGCAGTGGATCCTTCAGTGAACTACTAACACTGTCCCCCTGCCCCGAGTCTGCCAGCGAGGACTGAAGCGCCAGGCTGTGAGCAGGCCCCGTCCTCCGTGACCCGGTTCGCATCTCCTGTCTCCTGAGCAGCTAGCCGTGCCTGACCTCTCTCCTCTGGGACAAGCTCTCCACCCTTGGAGACACAAGACACGTGACTGGAACACTGCAGAATAAAACACCTCGAGTGTCGGGAGCCTCCTGATCGGCCTCGCACGTCAGTAGGCACACTGACCGTCAGTGCTGTGGCTGGGAACCCGCTACAGGCACCAGGACCAGAACATCCACTTTCTCTGACACCAAGGAAACAACACGCTCCTTGCAAAAGGTGAACAGAAATCTTACACTTGATGCCTGGAGTCGAGGCCAGAGCCCTGCCTGGGACCAGTGCCCTGAAATCATCTTCAAACCTGGAATGGAAACCCTCCCCTGAGGTCACCTTTTAGTTAAATAACAGATTGGCTCACAAAGGGTATCACTCCTGATGTTCACCTCTATAGGAATCAGGGTCAACAGTTACTCTCAAAAAGATGAGAAGGTTAGCAAGCAGGGAGACTAGATTACTGGAAGCAGGGCAACCAGAATGGAAGCAAGGAGGGTGGTCCCTCATTTTGGGAGTGTAACCAGTGTCGCTGAGCAGCTCATGGAGGTGGCTGAATGAGAACCCAATCTGCTGGGTAAATTTTCACTAAAACACAGTAAAATCTATCGTCATAAGAGCTTTCCTGGAAGGGTCACGAGGCCCCAGGCAGCTGTGATACGGGTTCACAGCTCCAGGAGGGCTCCCTGCTCCATACTGTCTAGGACTGTCACTCGTTACCTGATTTGTTATGGTCTGTGTACTTCCGACTCTGTTTCCAGACAGCTCCTCGTTTGGAATGCTGACGTATGATTTCGTCGTTTGCCCCCTGACCGAGATGAGCGCAAAGCTCAGGAGCGCTTCAAAGAATTCAAGGAACACCAGCTGCAACATACAGAAACAGGGACACACCTGCAGGGACCAGAGATTCAGATTTCTCTTCTCTGCAGAACACCGTCTCGTGGGACACGAGGCTACAGGGGAGAGACCCTTGCAGGAAGAGCCGCAGCGGTCAGAGCTGCGCTGCCCGTCCACCTTCTGTATTAGATGTGTCCCTCGGTGCGGTGTCTGCACGGAAACGTCGTTTCAGCTGAGGAACTATGAGCAGCTCCCAGAGGTCCTATCTCTGGGGCAGCCAGAGACGCGGCACCCGCAAGCCTGAACAGCAGGCATGCGTCTTGCCAACCTGTGAGCACCGCCTGGTGCCCAGGGTCCCAGTGCCCCACCTGCAGGCCTGCCTCTGCCTGGGGGACCCTGCATCATCAGATAGCTCGGCTGGGACATCAGTCCTGAGCCCCGTGACCCTGTGTGTCTGAGTGGGAACAGGCCCGCCCATCTGGCTCCGGGCAGGCCGCTTCCTTCCCCCAGGGGTCTGCTGGGCTGACCCCAGCCTAGTGTCACTACTCTCCTAGTTTGCTGAGACTCCCTGGGTCTGGCTGGTGCCAGGAGACCTGCTTTTATGTGCGTTCCTGCTCTGAACTTGACTCTTCCGTGGCCTCACCTAACACCTGGTCCCCCTCCCCTCAAGATTCCCCAAACCCAGTCCCAAAGCCACCTGTCAGTCCTCTCTCAAACCCCAAAAGAAGACACCCTTTGCTGTGGAGTCAGCTCCGACTCGTGGCGCCCCGTGTACGTCAGAGTGGGCCTGTGCGTCCCAGGGTTCTCAGTGGCCAGCTGTCTGCTCCACAGCTGGGACATCAGGCCTTTCCTTCAAGTCCCCTCTGAATGGACTCCACGGCCGCCCTGTTGGTTCACAGCCGAGTATGCTAACTACTCACACCCCGAGGACTTCAGTCACCTGGTGAGGTCCCAGACTCCCTCAGCCCTGTGGACAGAATGTGTGCTGGACACACGCAGACCTGAGGTGGAACCGTGGCCTTGGACGAGTTGCTAGACCTCCCTGAGCTGCAGTTTCCTCATCTGTGAATGTGAGTACCACATGCTGTCGTGAGGATGAAGTGTGCCTGTCCTCATCAGGGGTCAAGGGCTGGGACGGGTGGCCATTGCCTGGGGTGAAAGCATGTGCCCAGTAGGCCCTTGCCCCATGCAGGAACCAGCCACCTCTGACCTCAAGTTTCTTCCCCTTTACAAGTGTGACCTCCAAGGCTGTGGCTTTGGTTTTGTTCTTTTAAAAAAATGTATTTTGCTCATGCTGTCCCTACATCTAAGGAGCTCTGCTGGCACAGTGGTTAAAGCCCTTACCAAAAGGTCAATGGTTCAAACTCACCAGCTGCTCTGTGGGAGAAAGATGAGGTAATCAGCTTCCGTAAAAATTGACAGTCTCGGAAACCTTCTGGGGCAGTTCTGCTGTCCTCTAGGGACCGTGTAGATCGGAATAGGTTGATGGCACGGAGTTTGGTCTGGGCTTTGCATCTATGAAGATTGGAAACCCTCGGGGGCAGTTCTCCTTTGTCCTTTAGGGGCGCCGTGAGTCAGAATTGACTTGAGGCAGGGGCTGGGTGGGTTTGTGTTCCCACATCTCGTCTAGACCCCATGTCACCTGGTGCTGTAGCTGCTGTTCCCACCTGGGCTAAAGGACACCTTTGTCTGAGATTTGCAGTGCGGCCCACCCGGGTGTGTCCCAGCTGGGGTCTGCCTCTCAGCTTTGTAAGATCAGCTGAACACTTTGAAGATGAAGTTACTCCTACCGTTTTGATAAGAGATACAAAGGGACCATGGATGAGAACGTGCTGATGCGGGCCCATGGCTGGGGTGCTGCCAGTGGACGGGGGGGGGGCGGAGAGAACCCATAGGGATGGGGGTTCTTTTTAGGGTGATGGAGCCACACATTTTTAGGTGGTTTTCTCTTCTGTGAAATTTTTTTGGGGTAAATCTGCAGGTGACAAAACATCTGTTTCACCATTTTTTAGATGTACGATTCAGTGACGTTAACTCGGCATGTCGGTCAGTCATCCCCGCGATCTGTTTCCAGACTCTTCCATCACCTGTTACAGACACCGTGTCCTCGAAGCAGAAGGCCCCTTTTCCCTCCTCCCACCCCACTAACCACTCATGGACTCTGGTCTCCACTCGCCTTTTGTATTTATTTCACGTCATTGGGGTCATGTATCTGTTCTTTTGTATGGCTGACTGCGTTTGTTCAGGGTGTTTCCGAGGTGCACCTGTGTTGTACCTGTGTCAGGCCCTTTCTCTGTATGGCCGAGCAGTATTCCATTGTGTGTATGAACCACATTTCATCAGTTCGTCTGTTGATGGACACCCGGGTTGTTTCTACCTTTTTGGCTGTTGTGAACAGTGCTACAGTCTCTGTTCCTGCTTTTGGCTCTTTAGGGTACAGGTGTAAGATTGGAATTGCCAGGTCACATGGCAATTCTGTGTTTAACTCAGGAACTGCCAAACTACTACAATCTGCTAGCAGTGGATGAGGGTTCTGGTTTCTCCACATCCCCACCAACAACCGGTGTTGTTTTTAAACCACAGCCATCTTAGTGTGAGGTGATGTCTCCTTGTGGTTTCGAGTTGCATTTTCCTAGCGACACTGGGCATCTTTTCACGGGCTTGTTGGCCATGTGTTTCTTCTTTGGTGAAATGTCTCTTCTTTTTAGCCCATTTTTTGATGTTGAGCTAACAGGTACATAAAACTTTCAAAAAGTGTCACTCAAAGGGGAGGAGAGAGAGAGAACAAAGGTGGGAGAGAAAGGTGGGTTGTCTTTTTGTTAGGGTGTTCTAGGGTCCTTTATATATTCTGGGAATTAAGTCTGTGATAGTTAAGGTTATATGTCAACTGGGCTGGGCCTGGTTTTGAGTGGCTGGGTGGCTAAATGTAGCATGTGCCCCATGATGAAGCTGGTAATCAGCTCCATGCTAGAAGCCGCTGCGAGCAGCTGAGGGGCCGCTTTGGGGCTGTGGTCTGCTCCCAGTATGTAAGGAGCAGCTTTAGGAACGGTCTGTGGTTTTTGGTACGCTTGAGTCCTGCATGTGGCCCAGTTGTTGTTCAGCAGCCTGCCATGTTGTCTGATCTTGGGACTGTTAATGGACTTGAGTCAGTGGCCTGCTGGGTGGTTTGGTCATTTCAGAACTTTGCCTTTGTACTTGGCGACCTTGGGTTTGTCAGCCTCAGCAGCCATCTGAGTGAAAAAAGCCTCCAGCTTCAGTGGAAATAGCACCTGTGGTGTTTGTTAGAGTGGCACTAGAGGTAACCAAAACCAAGTATCAGATGTATGGTTCCTCCAGATTTTTCCCCAACACGTAGGCTGTCTCCCCACTTTGTCCATAAAGTCCTTCGATGAGAAGTGTTCCGTTTTGGTGAGGTCCCTTTATTTTGTCTATTGCTTGTGCTTGTGGCATTGTATCTAAGAATCAATCCGTTGTTAAAATCCAGGTCTCCACAAGTATCACCCCATTGTTGTCTCATAAGAGTTTTATGGTTTCAGCTTACACAGATATCTTTGATCCATTTTGAGTTAGTTTTCATATATAAAAGCTGTGCTGGTATCTGACTGCTTACCAGAAGGTTGGCAGTTCAAACCCAAAAGCCACTCTGTGGAAACAGGACTAGGCAGTCTACTCCTGTAAAGATTTACCCCCTCTGAAATCCAGTGGAGGTTGCTACGAGTCAGAATCGACTCGACAGCAGTGAGTTTTTTATCCCCCTCTGGTGGTGTGATGGGGCAGTGGGAAAAGCATTGGGCTGCTAACCAAAAGGTCAGCAGTTTGAACCCAGCAGCTGCTCTGTGGACAAATGAGGCAATCTGCTTCCATAAAGATTTACAGCCTCAGAAGTCCTACGGGGCAGTTATACTCTATCTAATAGGGTCACTGTGAGTCGGAACAATGCAGTGGCAGTGGTTTGGTTTTGGTTTTATAGATGATGTACAGTGTGGGTCCAGGTTCATTCTTTTGTTTGTGGAAAGCCATGTCCCCAGCACCATTTATTAAACAGACTAGCTTCCCTCATTGGATGGACTTACTGAAATCAACTGACCAGATGTACAGGTTTGTTTCTGGACTTTCAAGTCAATTGGTTGATCATTATTATTAATACCAAACTGTTTTGATCACTGTAGCTTTGTAGTATGTTTTCAGATCGGAAAGTGTGACTCCTCCTACTTTGCGTTTTGTTTTGAATATTACTTTGGCTATTTGGAGCTCCATGCCATTTCATATAAATTTGAGGACTGGCTTTTCAAATTCTGCAAAGGCGGCTGTTGGAATGTTGATGTGGACTGTGTTGAACTTATAGGTTGCTTGAGTTACTATGACATCTTAATGATACTGTCTTTTGATCCTTAGTGTCCATTTTATTTAGGTCTTAATTTCTTAAGAATAATTTATTATTAAATGTCATAATTTTCAGTGTACAAGTCTTTAGCTTCCTTGGTGTGATTTATTCTTGTAGAAATTACTGTACACAGAATTGTTTCCTTTTCAGATGCTCACTGCCGACTGATTAGCGTGTTGGCTTTGTATCCTGCCACTTTGCAGGTTCATTGATTAGCTCTGGGAGCTTTCTTGTGGATTCTTTGGGATCTTGGATGTAAGAGCTTGTTGTCTGCAAAGAGAGAGTGAGCTTTACTTCTTCCCAATTTAGAGGATACCCTTTCTTTTCCTGGACTAAGACAATTCAGTGCTCTGGCTGGAGCTTCCAGTACAATACTAAACAGCAGCGAGGACAGAGGGCTTCCGTGGCCTGCTCCTGATCTGGGGAAAGTTCTCAGTGTCTCCAGTGATGTGCTAGCCATGGGTTCTTCATGTCTTTTACCACACAGATGAATAGCCCTTCTGACCCCAGCTTGTGGGATGTTGTCAGATGCCCTCTCTGACTCAGCTGAGTTCATGGTGATTCTTTCCCTTTATCCTAAAAACATGGTACATCTTGTTCACTGATCTTCTAATACATTCCTAGGATGAATCTCATTGGATTCGACTGGCTAGTTTTTTGTTAAGGATCTTTGTGTCTGTATTCACAAGGGATGCTGGTCTGTTATTTTGTGTGTGTGGGGGGGGTATCTGCCTGGCTTTGGTATCACAGTAATGCTAGCCTCACAGAATGCATTAGGAAGTGTTCCCTTTCTAGGAAAGTTGGAGGATTTAGGTCATTTATTCTGTAAATGTTGGCAGAATTCTTCTGTGACGTCATCTGGTCCAGGACTTTGTTGGGAGGCTTTTGATCTCTTCGCTGCTAAGGGGTTTGTTAGAAACAGGTACCTTCCTACTGACTCTAGTCGAAGACTTTAAGAATTTCCCACTTATCTAGGTCATCTAATTTGTTCAGTAATTGCTAATACTCTCTTATGAATCTTAAGCCTTTAGGATGGTTGTAATATCACCACTTGATGAGGGCTGTAAGATCCCTCATTTCTCATTTTTGATATTTGTATCTTATTTTGTCACTTTAGTTAAAAATTTGATTTCATTTCATTGAGTTTAAAAAACAAACTGGTTTCATTGGTTCTGTTTGTCTAGTGTCTCATTTCTGCTGATTCTTCCTTCCTCCTGGTTGCTTTGCTTTCCTTTTTCTAATTCAAGTTGTAAAGTCAGCTCATCGATCTGTGATCTTTCTTTATGTAGGTTTTTAGAGCTGTAATTCCCTCCAATCACTGGTTTTGCTGCGTAAGTTTTGGGATGTTTTTTCATTTGACGAAGCACTTGATTTCTCCTTGACCCATTGGTTATTTAATAGTTTCCTATCCACATATTTGTGGACTTTCCAGTTTCGTGGTCGTACAAGACACTTTGACTTCAGAAGTTTGAGCTTGCTTTGTGACCTACCACGCGGTCTATCCTGGACGTTGACCCACGTGAATTGGAGGACAATGTCGTGCGGTTGTTGGTGTTCTGTGTACATCTGCCAGGTACAGTCGGTTTTTAGTGTCATTCAGGTCCTTCGTTTCCTTATTGATCACTCTCATAGATGTTCTCCCTGTTACTGGGAGTGGCGCATCGAAGTCTCCAACCATTATTGTAGAGCTGTTTCTCCCTTGAATTCTATCATTGTTTTCCTCATATATTTATCATTGTAATCTTCTTGATGAATTGACTCTTATTATATAACATACTTCGTCTCTTATAACAGATTTTGACCAAAAGTCCGTATTGTCTGCTATCAAAACCACCACCCACACTCTCTTCCTTACTGTTTGCATGGAATGTTTTTCCCATCCTTTTGCTTTCAGTCTGTTTGTGTCTTTGGGCCTGTGGTGTGCCTCTTACAGACATCATGTAGTTGGGTCACGTGTTTTACCCCTTTCTGCCACTCTGCATTTCAGTGGCAGCCTTCAGTCCGTTTGCGTTCATGGTAATTACCAATAAGGACTTCTGTCACTTCATTATTTTTTGGGGTGTCTTATATTTTGTCCCTTATTTTCTCTAACACTGCCAACATTTGTTGAATTTTTGTAGTGAACCGTTTTAGTTCCCTTCTCCTTTCCTTCTATGTACATTTTTTAGTTATTTTCTTTGTAGTTACTCTAAGTATGGCATGTTACATCTTACATTTATAACAACTTGGATTAAATTTATACCAATTTAACTTCAGTAGCCATTACCAACTCCCTACCTCTACCATTCCTCACACTGCTGCCCCCTTGCTCCATTCATGTTACTATCATTACATCTTTATATATCCTGTGCCCTGTGACCCTATGACATTTACACTTATCTCTATGCATTTCTCATTGAAAAAGATAAAGTCAATGGCCACTGGAATTACCGAGTAAAAATACTTTAAAACTTGCTATTAGACCAGCCCTCGCAGCTACCGATTTTTTTTTGCCCCCCTGTGGAGGGCTTTGGGTTGTTCTATGTCCTCTCTTTCCCATCTGAAGGATTCCCTTTAGCATTTCTTGTAAGGCAGGTCTAGTGGTGGCAAACTCTCTGAACCAAGCATGTCTTAATTTTGTCCTTGTCCTTGAACGGTGTTGCCAGATACAGTATCGGTCCTTTTCCTTTAGCAGGGCACACGTGTCATTCCACAGCCTCTGGCCTCAGAGTTTCTGGTGGGCGGGGGGAGGGAATCGACAAGCTCATTTATATGTGACAGTGCACGTTCTCTGGCATCATTTCTCTGATTTCCACATGGTCAGTTCTCTCTGTTGTCATTCGCTCCTCTGAGCCCTTTTAGTTTTGCTGTGCGATGTTCTTCCCATCTGCTCGTCTCCTTGGTGTGGACGTATAGCGTTTGCAACGTGTGCGCGGCTGGAACACTGGAATCTGACACGTCGTGAGCTTTCCCAATTCTCCCAAGTAGTTGGTGTATTGACTACACTACTTTTGGTACAGAACTCTGAGATGGGCAGGACTTTGCTAATCATGTCATCTCCTGCTCTGCGCCAACTCATTTCCCTCAGACCGAGGTGTTCGTCCTTCGTCGACTCCAGACAGAGCAGAGACACCCACCAATCAGGCCGTCATCCAGCGACACAACCTTCAGTCTTTGGTTGTAACTCCTCCCCTGCTGGGTTAGCACTGAGTGTCTGGCCAGTCCACGTTTTCAGTCCTTTTAATGAAAAGCAGACACAACCCTCAGGCCTTGGTCATTATACTTCAGGTCCACTGATCTGAGATCCGAGACCGGGGTCTTGTCCTGTGCTCAGGTGAGCCGTGGGTCAGCTGGGCCTGTGACAGCCATCTGTCCTTCATGTGCAGAGGCGAGCCGTGCCTTAGCTGAGGGAGCGGCCATCTGCGAACCACTGTAACCGTCCGCAGCAGCCGACAGGCCACTGTGTAGGTGTTGGGGGTGTCAGGACAGTGGGAGACATGCTTTTCCTGCCACAAGACTTATCTTTGACTTGGTTCCAGCTGCAGCATCTCGCTGCTGTCCTCTGTCCACCAATTCTGAGTCACACAGATTCCTCATTGTGTTTCTTGGTATGTGTTGCAGGGCAGGGTCGGGAACCTAGACCTGCTGCTCATGCCACCATCTTTGCAGAATATCTGTTATATGAATTTTACCTCAAATAGAACAGAAGAGGATGTTGAGATAACAGACACATAAAACTTTCAAAAAGTGTCCCTCAAAGGGGAGAAGAGAAAGACAACAAAGGCGAGAGAAGAAGTGGGGCCAGGTAGCGACGTCTGTTGTGGTTTTAACCGTCATTCGGTGACATTCATACTCACTGTGTTGTGCAACCATCGCCACTGTCTTATTTCCAAGACTTTTTCATCTCCCTGAAGAGAGAAGCTCAGTGCCCCTTCAACAACTTCCCACCCCAAGCCCCCGGTAACCACTGATTCTCCCTCGGTCTCCGTATCCATGTGCCCGAGATATTTCATGGATGTAGGATCGTACCGTAGTTGCCCTTTGTGTCTGGCCTCCTTCACTTAGCATAATGCTTTCAAGGTCATCCATGTTGTAACACATGTCAGTCCTGTTTCCTGTTATGGCTGATAATCCATTGTACGGACAGACCGTGTTGTGTTTATCCATTCCTCTGCTGGTGAACATGGGTCATTGCCTCCTTTTGGCTCCTGTGACTAGCGCTGCAGTGAACACTGGTGCCCGCCTGTGTCCCCGCTTTCAAGTCTTTTGTGTAGATGTACAAGGTGTTTGTTGTGAAGATGGGAGAAGTCAGGGCATTTCCGCATGTATCCACTAGCGAGAGAATTGACCTCAGATGACAGAGAGGAGTCCAAGGGGCTCCAGTGTTACCGGCTACACTCCGAGCAGAAGGCAGGCGGATGTGGTTGTGGGAGTCTGGGGAGTACTCTTTGGATGGCGTCAGTTTTCTCAGTGAAGATTGTAGGACGGGCCATGGTTTGAAGAGAGAAGGAATGAAATAGTTACCCGAGGAGTTAGCAGGGGCCGGACTGGGGAAGTGTAGAAGCCCCCGACGTGTTGTGGGCGTTGGGCTTCTTCAGGCTGGCTCCCACGTCACGGCCCTGTGTGCAACGAAAGATGCCCCGCCTGTGCCATTCTCCCCACCGTTGAGCCCACTGTCGCAGCCGCTGTGTCGGCCGGCCTTGTGGAGGGTCTCTCTCCTTTAGCCGACGCCCTCTACTCTACGAGGCGTGATGCCTTCTCCAGGGACTGGTCCCCCCGACAGCGTGTCCAAATTCCTCGAGCTGAAGTCTCCCCATCCCTGCTTCTAAGGAGCGTTCTGGCTGTGCCTCTGTCTGAAGTATAATTACTGGACTGTGGGTTAGGGGTCCCAACATGAACGTGGGACAAGACAGAGGAGTCCTGTTTCTCTTCTGCCCCTGCAGCTGTGTGTGGGTGAAAGAGGCAGAGGGTTTAGAGGATTGAACCCGAGAGCTTTCCGCTTTCCCTGGGGACGTGTGAAATGGAAATGACTGACAAAGGGCAAGGGTGTGACATTTTTCACGGCCAGCCTGAATGTGCCTCTGGTCCCTGCCCTCAGGACACCTCCTCCAAATACCGCATCCACAGTCGTCCACGCAGAATCACCAGGACTAGAAACCATGAGCTCAGCTAAATGGTCCAGTTCGCAGATGAAAACATGGACTTCCAGGGAGGGTAACCATTCAAAGTTCCCAAGGAGGAAACGATGAAACTCAGAGACATATACCTAACTCACTGAGAGCAGGAGGTCACTTGGTGTCTCTGACAGGGACTACCATCTATGAAAATACCAGAGAAAATACACAGGTGGTGAATCATTCAATCATTCAAGAAGGGGCACTGTAGTTCTGTACTCTTTAGACCGCATTGTTGCCTGACATCTGAAATATAATCCTCTTCAACATTAATCTCTAATTTTCTAATAGAATCAAGTGTGTGTGTATGTGGGTGTGTGTTTGGTTAGACTGCTTTTCAGTAACACTGCAGTTCCTGGTAGCCAAGGAAAAAGAGTGAGCCTGAACTGGGTCTGCATTATTTGTGACGCTTCTTTACCAACCTCAAGTTCAAAGTTGCTGTCAATCCCATCGTGCATGAAAGGATTATCCTCTGCTATGACTTCCACAAAATTGGTTGCTGTCAGTTCTTTATTTATCATTTTAAAGTCCTGTAAAAGAAGCAACCAATCCATTAGCTGACACGTGACAGACAGCTGTGTGTTTTTTCATGTCAAATTGTATCATTGTAACACTCAGGAAATGTATCAAATGAAGATTTTTAAAACTAATCTTGAAAAGCCTTGTGGATTAACATTAGTATTTACCTCCCTCTCTGCCCCAAGGGGAAGTCCGTTTTCTAGATGCACACGCAGGCTGGAAAGCTCTGGGCTTAGAGGAAACCATGCACTCCGTGCCCACAGACTGGCACCTGGGCTCCCACTCACAACTGGCAGTGACGACCTGGTGCCCATCCTCTTACCCTCCTGGAGCAGTGATAGACTCATACCTAAAATACCCAGGTTTCAAAAGAAAATGAATCATTCTACGTGGAGCCAGAAACACCTCCCCTGCATGAGGCAATACAGCCATAGATACCGACACCGAGACGCCGAGTGATCAGGTCTCACAGCCACTGCCTTCCGCTCTTCACCCGGCAGTTACACACGTCCGAAACCCACGGAGAAAACAGTCTCACGAGGAACCAATAGAACTAAACGGAAGCTTCAGAACCAACAAGTGTAACAACTGAAATAACGAGAGGGCTCCACAATGGAAACCTGACGATGGATCCGATGCCACGACCCAATCTGATGGATAGAAGGGGGTGATGAGCGAAAAGAAGTCACCTTTGTGTCACCGGCGTCCTGAGGAGGGAAGACAGAAGGTGGGACTGAAAGGTGCTCAAGCGATGACAGAAATCCCCCGAAGCTGGTGGAAGACATAAAACCTGGGAACTCAGGACATAGAGTGATCCCACACAGGATGAACCCCAAAAATTCACGCCAAGACACATCATAGGCACACATCTTAAAACTGGAGATGAAGCAGCAAGAGAAAAACATGTTACCGAGAATGGAGCAACAGCTCACTGACAGGAAATTTCTCACCTGAAATCATGGCAGCCGGAAGGAAGTGGCACAGTGGCGGCCAGTGCCCAAAGAATGAACCGTCAACCAGAACTCTCCATCCAGCAACATGTCCTTCAAGAGGAGACAAGAGTGTTGATTTGGGGAAGAGGAGAGAGGGGATGGAAGAAGTATGGGTCCAGCACAACAATGACACGGGGGGGGGGGGGCAGGTCACTGAAATGTGCACACAGGATACAGACAACAGAGGCAAACACTAGTATGTGCACAATACTGCATCACACTAACCCCAGGCACTGAGAACATCAGGCACGGGTTGGTGAACAGCAGTGTACCCTAGACCAAGGATAGGTTTAAGCAGAAGATGTCCTTGCACGGACACTAGTGCTACAACATCAGCCACACTCATCACAGAAGCAACAGAAGACAGAGTTGCAGTAACCTCTTAGAGACAGCCAGACACCTTGGGGGAGAGAATCATCAGGCCTGCTGCCTCGGGACATAGTCTTAGGGGACACCAAGCTCAACTGGCACAACACAGTATATAAAAATCTTAGTCTACAACCGACTCTGGTGAGTAGCAACTGGGGCCTTAAAAGCTTTCAAGCAGCCATCTAAGATGGAGCTGTTGGTCTCCTCTCGTCTGAAGCAAAGAAGAGTGAAGAAAAGAAGAGGCATCTGGAAACAATTAGTCCAAGGCTATGATGGACCCTGAGACCAGAAGAACTAGATGGTGCCCAGCTACCAATGCCAACCACTCGGAAAAGGATCAAAACTGGAGATCCTGGATAGAGTGGGAGGGAAAATGTGGAACAAAACTCAAAAACACAAAAATGACCACAATTACTGGATGGATGGAGTCTGGCAGGACCCCTAAGACTAAGGCCCCAGAATATCCTTTGAGCCTGAGATTGGACTCACTCCCAAGGATTGGTTCTCAGCTCAACAACAGAAAGACCTACATGCAGTACGCTCACCCCAGGGCGATGCACCCACCTGCTCTAGGGAGGTACACCCCTTAGAGCAGTCAGCCACGGGGCACCAGAGGGGCAGCATTCACATGGAAGGAAAGCTGGACAGACAGGAGTACATAGCTCAGAAGGACACAGGGAGAGGGTGTGTTATATAATCAGGCATGAAATAAAATGTACGCCAATTGTTGAATGTAAAACAAATTTTGCAGGTAAATTTGCACCCAAAACCCAATAAATAAAGAGTGGGCAGCAAATCGAGACAGTGTCTGATGTAGGAAAACTAAGAACCTGTTATCAGCAGACCTTCCTTAAGAGGGGCTAAAGGCATTTCTCTCAACAGGAAGGAAGCCATCAAAGGGTCTAAGGACACCAGGAAAAATGGAAGCGAAAAGATGGGTAAGTACAGCATACTTTCCTTTTTCTCTTGAGTTTTCTAAATTATATTTGACAGTTGAAGCAAAAATTGTAAGACTGATGTTCTAAAAGGAGCTCTGGTGGCGTAGTGCCTAAGGCACTTGACTGCTAACCAGAAGGCTGGCGGTTCAAAGTCACCAGCCACTTCTTGGAAGGAAGGTTGGGCAATCTACTCCTGTAGAGATAATGCTTTAAAACCCAAGGAGGGGTCGCTATAAGCCGAATTGACTCGACAGCAGTGAGTTTTTTTTAATTTAGATCACTTGAAATACCTAAACCAAAAAATAACATCAAACTCATTGCCATTGAGTCGGCCTCAGTCTTCTTTCTGGGGAATGTCTGGTGGGTTTGAACCACCAGCCTTCTGATTAGCAGCCAAATGCTGTAGGCATTGTCACCGGAGCACCTATATAGATGTAGACAGACGTGAAAATACACAGACATAAATGTATAGACAGACATACATACATCTACAGTAACACTAAAATAAGTGCTACAGTGACATACTCAAACCACGACAGCTAAATCAAAATGGAATTCCTAAACATATCCAGGAAGGCAGGAAAAAGAGCAAACAGAAAACAAAAAACAGCAGATGTGTGCATAATATAATGAGAGTTACATTAAATGTCGGTCCAAGTGCATCAACCAAAAGACACCTGGCAGCTATCCTGCTGGTGGGAATGAACGTAAGATGGAACAGCCACTCTGGAAGGCAGTTTAACAGATTCTCAGAAAACTGGAACACGTACAGCCAGTAGAGGCTGGGCATGTCTCCCACAGAACTGAAAACACGTCCATAGACAAACCCGTGCACCATGGCTCACGCCACCTCTATTCACTGGAGCCACCAACCGGAAACAGCCCACGTGTTCGTGAGAGATGTAAGTGAGTGAGCAACGGTGACAGATCCATGAGACGGAATACTGCTGGACATTGAAAACAAACATGACCACTGATACACGCAACACCGAGGGCGGATCTCGGATCAGTCGATGCTGAGAGAAACTTCACACAGAGCAAAATGCAAGCATCCAGAAAACAGGAGATGCAGCAGAGACCGTGGGAAGTCTGAAAGACTGAGCTGGCGGCCCAGAGAGGAGAGAGCACAACGCCTCAGAAGCAGTCGTTCAACAAGTAACGAGGGGGAGTTCGTCACAACGCAGAACGGTGACCCAGTGGGCCGCAGCCCTCCCTCAGAACAGCACCCCCAGGGCCGCAGCCCGTCCTTAGACGACATGGCGAAGTGCAGCCAGAATTAGAACATTGCCACTGTGCAGCTCCTGAGGAAATAACAGGTGCCAGCAAGAGCCATCAGGGGCTGCGGAAGCCAACGGGACACTTTACGGGGCCCAGGACCACACGACGCCGTCTGTACACGCTGATGAATCGCAACAGCACTACAGGTGGCCATCTTATTTGATGCCGTAGGAGGTGCACAGAACCACCAAAGGCACCCGGATCTAATCGTGCCTGTAAGCAACACGAGGAGGATGCAGTCAGGCCAAGGCCACGTGTGGGCTACTCTACAGGACAGACCTCGAAGGAAGGGGGAAGGGGAACAAGCAAGCTGTGATCAGCCACCAGAAATGCTACCTAATCTTTCAAGCTCTTGTCCAAATACTAGGTTCCTGATGCTTTTCCTGCGCGTACAAGTCTGTTAACCCTTTCTAAGCACTCTGCAGTAGCGTTTGATTCTTTCGGTTCTAGCACTTACATTCCCACAAGGACAGGAAAAACCTGCTAGTTGTTGTCACAAGGCCGTCGTATGAATGACATGTTCTTTTTTCCACAACTAATGACTTGACTTTTCAGAAATCACATTCATCCTCTACCCTTCCCTGGCCGGGTGTGTGTCAGACAAGATACTGAGGCCAGCCAGCCACACCGGCCACGTCCAGAAGCGTAGCCAGCTGGCACTCCCTCCATCTTTCGCCCTTCCGTGCTCGTAAACCCAAACCAAACCCACTGCTGTCGAGTTGATTCCCGCTCACGGCGACCGTGTGTCACAGAGAAGAACTGCTCCCAAGGGTTTTCTTGACTGTCGTCTCTCCACAAGCAGCTCACCGGGCCCTCCCTCCACAGCAGCACTGGGCGGGTTCAGACCCCAACCTTCAGGTCAGTGCTCGAACGCTAACGGCACGTACCCTGCAGGGACCTTCCCTGTCCTAGGCCATTTGAAGGCCTGTTCCCCTTCCTTCTCCAGAAAGACTGAGTGACCATTTGGTGGCTGGGGAACTCACCCAGATCCCCACTTCATCCCGGCCATATCAAAATGCCTGCAAAGAGAAAACCAGCTCAAATCTGAGAAATTACTTTCAACATCCAGAGGAAGTGTCTCATTTTCATGGTCAGCTCTCCAGGAGGAAGTGCGTTTGGTCTGCAGTAAACTGTGTAAATCTCCCAGCACTTGTCGATGTAATTCATCGAGTACAGTGTCCGCGGCTGCTCACTGAACAGTTTGCCTAAAAACAGCAGGAAAAAAAAAAAACAATCAGAACTCACAAAAATGGTTCCAGATCTCTGTTTTGAAAAAGTGATGATGTGCTCATTAGTGGTTACCGGGGGGAGGGGGGAGAAGGGGAGACACCCTCAGGATTGCAGACACTCCTTCCCTTTCGTGACAGGAAAAGTGCCCAGAAGGTGGGTATAGTGAGCGCAGACTGACCAAGTGCACACGAGACAAGGATGCTTGTGTGACGGGCTACGGCATGTATGACTTGGCAACACCAGTCACCAGAAATGAATGTATGGTCACACATGTGGGTGTACAGGCAAGTATATGCGTGCACACGGGAGTTTCTATCTGTACGTGTGTGTCTGCATTGTGTGCATAGGTGTAGTCACAGGACTGTGCAGGCGCTTCTCAGACACCACCACACACCTCGCAGGAATGGTGTTCTGGTCCCCGTCTCCAGGGACAGCTCGAACAGCACAGTGGAGCTCACGTTCTGATCCCCGAGAGGTGAGGAGCTCAGGGTCTTAAAAGCTGGCCAGCAGCCCGTCTGGGAAACAACTACTCATCAGGAGCAAAAGAGAAAGAAAGGAGGCAAGCGGCGTGTCAGAGATGACACTCATCACAGGGCTGACGGCTGACGAAAGCTCTGGCCTCGCCCGCCCCGAGACCTTCCCAGCTGTTGCTCAGGGCCACAACAGACGGCCCGGGATAGAATGGGAGGAGAAAATGAGGAGGAGAATGCAGGTTCTTAAAAAGCCTGTACTTACTGGACCAGGGGAGGAGTCCCGGAGACACTCTTTAAACCTTGAACTGAAACAATCTTGAGTTCTCACCTTTTAGTGAAATGACAGACTGGCACACAGAGTAAAGGGTGTCAACCCTGAGTGCAGAGCATCAGTAAGAAAACCATCCACACGAGAGCAGAAGTCAGCAGTGACTCGAAAGCAAAGGTGACAGGATAAGGGGGCAGGGACACTAGAGCACTGGGAATGGAACAACCAGAAGGCAGTTAAAGAGAATGTGGACTCGTCATAATGCCACTGAACAGCTGATGTGGAGACTGTCAACTGGGAACGGAATTTCCACCAGAACACAATAAAGCATCATGTTTGGGAGACGGTGAGGCCGGTGGTCCTGGCGGGTGGTGGTTACCTTTCACCTGGCAGGCGTTGGGATGAATGTTCTCAGTCATCAGTTTTGTGAAACACATGAAGAGCGATGGGCTTCTGCTTCTGTGATTAAGAAGAAATCAGAATGACTGCTCTCCAGGGGAGTGGAGGGAGCTCAGGGGGCGTAGTGCCTGAGACATTTGACGGCTGCTAACCAGAAGGCTGGCGGTTCACACCCATCAGCCACTCCTCGGAAGGAAGGGTGGGCAATCTACTTCCGTAGAGATACCACCTCGGAAACCCAATTGGGGGCCGCTATGAGTCAGGTCTGACTCGACGGCAGTGAGTTTGATTTTTAGTTTTTCGGGGGAGTAGAGCTCTGGTGGCACAGCACCTAAGGCATCTGACTATGAACCAGAAAGTTGGCAGTTCAAACCCACCAGGCGCTCCAAGTAAGGAAGATGGGGAGATCTACTTGCATAAAGATTTACTGCCTGAGAAACCCAATGGGGCTTTCCTGTAAGTAGGAATTGACTCAATGGCAGTGAGTTTGGTTTTGTTTTTCTGGGGGGACTGGAAACACAGTCCTGGAGCATGGGTAGGACTTAGGAACTCACTCCTAACAGAGTCCAGAAAGGGAAAAATCATTCCTTTATGGTACAGAAAGGAGCCCTGGTGGTGCAGTAGTTAACCACTTGGCTGCTAACCACAAGGTCAGTGGTTTAAACCCACCAGTCGCTGCACAGGATAAAGATGTGGCAGTGGGCTTCAGTAAAGATAACAGCTTGGAAACCCTGTGGGCAGTTCCACTCTGTCCTCTAGAGGTGCTGTGAGTGGAAATTGACTCCACGGCAGGTTTGGTTTGGGCTTTGCTTCCATGAAGACTGACCACCTTGGAGACCCTGTGGGGAAGTTCCACTCCATCCTCTAAGGGCGCTGTGAATCGAACTCAACAGCCGTGATACAGCAGAGAAATCTGGCTTACACTGCTTGAAACCTCACGATCAAGGCTGGTAGCAGCAGTAGTTAAGACATGGATGTCATGCGCCACCTGGTGTGTGACAAGAAGGGCGGTTCACAGAAGAACTAGATGGTGCCCAGCTACCACTGCCATCCACTTGGAAGGGATGTAGGAGATCCTGCATAGAGAGGGAGAACAATGTGGAAC